AGACCACCAACGCAAAGGTTCAAAATGGAGGCAAATTAATTATGCAGGCTCCTAAAATACCTTGTATTTGACAAATTGTCGACGTATGGGGAAAGCAATTCCAGAACGCATCGACAAGCTCAGAGAAAAAAATTTAATTCAAGAAGGCGAAGACATGAGAAATTTTAATCATAGGCCTAACCAAACTTTCAATACTTGAATTAATTAAAATGTAGTTCAAGAAATAAAAAACTAAATGCTAGAAATAGTTTGGTGTAATTAGAAATGCATTATTTTCTGAAATATTTGTGCGCTATGGACTTTTACTCACACAGGAGTATCATAGTCCTAGTTTAACAACATACTGAGGACAAACTCTATAGGAATCAATTTAGTAAGGAGCACTATGAAAATGTGCATGTCCATTTAGTCTTGGTTCCAGTTGTATATTATACATAAATTATTTCTGGAGGGATTTTTAAAAAGAGTTATATGCCATGAACCAAACAACCAGCTACAAGGCGAATCGAAGAGTTACAAACTTAAACAAAAAATTTTTTTGAAAATTTGGTACGTCTCTGGATTTGATGGCTTTAATGAGGTAAAGAACTACAAAAATATTCATGTTTAACAGTGGCGCAGATTGCTTTCATTGTAGAATCAAACGTAATGTAGTCTTTCACCTGGAATTCAGCTGTTAAACAGGTTTATTTAAAGGGGTCATATGATGTTGCTAAAAAGAACATATGTCTGCATTTGTGATCGGAGAAATGACAAACAACAAGCGTTACTTTACACTGCTCAAAACTGGCGTTTGAATCATCAGTGGCAAATCCTTTAAATATGAAAGCATACTTACAGTCTGTGAGTCAGAACAGCCGACATTGTTGTCTACTGTCCCAGAATCAGGAAACAGTTCTCCATAAAATGCGCTGCACACTGTAGACATGTGGGGGCGTGTTAGAACGAGCCGTTTTAGGTAGGCGTGGTTGACTCTTAACTTTTATAAAAAATATCTCTTTGGATTTGAGACTTTAGTCTTTGCAACTTTACAGATCTTCTTTATGCACCAAGAGCTTGTAACACTCCAAAGAGAAAGGAAAAATTTAAATCGCATCATATGACCCCTTTAACAAAATTTATAAATAATGTGGACTGACAGCTTTAACAAAAGCATATAACACTGATTAACAACCTCACAATAGATCTATTTTTAGAGGTTTAAGTTATTGGCAAAAATCAATTAAACTCTTCAAATTAAAAGTTGCTGCCTTTCTAGTGCATTCCAAATCAGTCACATATAAAGTTTGATTTCAGTTAGGATGCTGCCTATGTAGGGCAGCTCACTAGTTTTTGGAACAGAGCTTCAGACAGCAACAAAATCTCTTCATGTTCTGGGAAGGTTCTTTACTCTGTGTGTGTGTGTGTTTGTGTTTAGATCAGGTAAAGGTGCCCTTCCCCGACACCCTCCACTCTGAACTGCTTCGATTTGCTCTGAGAGATTTTCTGAGGAAAGCCCAACAGGCTTCATGCTCTGAGCGTTAGCCAAGCAGAGATGAGCGCTTTTACAAAAATCAATGAAGCTCTTCAAAACCTACAGTACAACAAAAGCATTCCTCTGCAATTAGATCTGTAGACTTGAGCACCCAAACACTACACTTGGTACAGTTCAGATATTTTATATTGTAAAATCAATATGGTATATATACAGTAGCACTGGCATAATAAAGAATGTTATGCAATTTCTCTGCTATAAACCCTTAGCGAGAAAAAAAGGGCCGTGGCGGTGGGAGTATCAGATGGAACATCATCGTATTCTTGGAAGTACCATAACTATAAAACAGTAAATGCGGTATATGGGTAATTGATTCATGTTTCATGTACGTTACATTTTTCCATGGACTTTTTAATGAAAAATTTAACATTTTAAGTTCAAATTTGTATAAAAAGGGCTCTCCAGTCTCTACATTAATATGAGGTAATAAAAGCTGCAAGCATAATTATAAAATAATGATCAAAATGATACTTAAAATAGTATTAAATTTCATACCGCAGGATTTCCAACAACCCATAAAGCATGGCATACTGTTTGATTACTGATTTATATTCATATACTATGGTATTTACATGGTACTACAAAGAATACCATGACATTATTATGATGTTATGATGGAACGTTTTTGTTTTTGAAAAGAACTTCAATTACCAATGCTATTAACAAACTACACAGAATCATTCATCATTGACTGATTGATTGATTGAACATCATCAACTGATATGCTTTCACTGAGGCTGTGAATAACAGTGATATTGGTTCAAATGTGCTCATTCATCAAGACAGGACCTTAAGTGAATTCATCAACCTGAAGTGTCTATAAGATGCTGAAGTCTTGTGTTCTCACCGATTTATCCCACCTATTCATGTGCTCACACAAGGACTTCTTTTCTCTCTCTCTCTCTCCCACACACACACACACACACACACACACACGCTTCATCCTCTTGACATGTGAAGGTCTGTGCCTGATTCTTCTACAGCCGACAGCCTTAATGGGGTCAGCTGACCTCTGCTCTCACTTCTCACCAGGGCCAGGCAGAAGGGGAATGCCTTTCTCCACTCTGAAAGACACACAAACTCCCACACATACTCTCATTTTACACCACCTTGACCCTGACCCTTGCAGCATCTTCTCAAGAGGAGCAGAGAAAAGAGCCCTGCTCAGCTGCAGAGCCACGAGCTCTTGAAGGAAGGTGAGAGGTCACCAGTGGGCAAGACGAAAGCCTTCTCACGAATTGGAATTGCACCAGGCTTTACCCGTGAAATATCACCAGCCTCGATTTTGCTAAAGTTGCTAGGGTTAAAAATCAATAAGTCTAATGAACTAGAGAGGAGAGGAGAGAAAAAGGAAAGGAAAGAGGAAAATGGCAGGAAAGAGAAAAGCGAAACACAAAGGAAAAAGGAAAGGAAAGGAAAGGAAAGGAAAGGAAAGGAAAGGAAATAATGTACCAGGAAAAGGACAAGAAATGAGAAATGAAAAGGAAAGAATCAGAAATAAGGACAAAATATGAAAAGGAAAGGGTGAAATAATAGGGCAGGAAAAAAAGAGGAAAAGGAAATGAAAGAAGAACGGGGAAAGGATCAAAAAAGAAAGAAAAATAGGAAAAGAAGGGGATGGAGGTGGAAAGGAAATTAGAAAATGACCAAAAACATTAAAAGGAAAGGAAAGGAAATAATGTATCAGGAAAAGGACAAGAAATGAGAAATGAAAAGGAAAGAATCAGAAATAAGGACAAAATATGAAAAGGAAAGGGTGAAATAATAGGGCAGGAAAAAAAGAGGAAAAGGAAATGAAAGAAGAACGGGGAAAGGATCAAAAAAGAAAGAAAAATAGGAAAAGAAGGGGATGGAGGTGGAAAGGAAATTAGAAAATGACCAAAAACATTAAAAGGAAAGGAAAGGAAATAATGTATAAGGAAAGGGGAAAATAACAGGACAGGAAAAAGAAGGAGAGGAAAAAGGAAATGAAAAAAATGGGAACAGGAAAAAGGAAAGATTAAAATGAATCAGAATAGAAAGGGTATAGAAAGAAGAGGGGGAAATTAGAGGAGAGGAGAGGAAAAGAAAAAAGACAAATTATGAAACTGAAAAGGGGAAAATAACAGGAAAGAGGAATGGGAAAAGGAAATGGAAAGACGAAAAGGTAGGAAAAAGGAAATGGAAAGGATCATAAAAGAAAATAAGGGGAGTGAAAGAAAAACAAAAATGACAAAAAATGAAGGGGAAGAAGGAAATAACAGGACAGGAAAATAAATAAAAAGGAAAAGTAAATGGAAAGGATCAGAACAGAAAGAAAAGGAAAGAAGAAAAGGACAAAATATGAACAGGAAAGGGGAACAGGGAAGGAGAAGGAAACAACAACAATTAAATAATAAAAGGAATTAGGAAAAGAGCAGAAAATGAGAAATGGAAAAAGAAAAGTAAGATGACAACGGCAGGAGCGATGACAGGACAGGGAAACAGAGAAGGAAATTAATGGAAAGAGGAAAGGACAGTAAAATAAAGAGGGGTGATGAATGTTACTTTTCCTGTAAAAGTGGTATCAAAGGCAAAGCCTGCTGAGAAGACACTCACACAGCTGGCCAGTCGCTGGCTTTTATCCGTGCCACTCTCACAAAAAGGACATGCTGCCAGCGTGCTCTTCTGCTATGATCTGTTTAGAGTGTCACCCAGACAAACGCAGAGTTCATATCCATCACGCACAGTGTCACATCCCTGCAGAAAACGAGTCCCGACAGCACCACACAATGCTCACATGCCCAGAGAAAAGAGGAATAAAAACACATCATGCCCTCACATTTACCCATTACTTGAACCGTCACTCTTGAACTTTGGTTAAAGGAACATACGGAAGGGGAGAAATCATTTCGGCTGGCAACAGACAAACAGAATAAAGTGGAAAAGGCCTGAATTCTTGTTTTATTATATTTCAATAGCTCTGCTGTTTCCCTCCATCCTTGACCCCTTTTCTTAGCTGCCTCTGTTATCTGAAATAATGTCAGGCCATCCTTAGAATCTATTCATCAGTGCAGAAAGAAGCTGCCGCTGACATTGATAAAAAATACCATCTGTGCCTCGCAGGGAGGAGAGACAGAGAGGTACAGCTTGCCCCTCCTCCTCCTCATTCCTCTTCATCAATGCAATTTAAATTGAAGAGCTCAGTGGTAATTAAATTCAAGCTGGGGTTACGGAGGGGGCCGAAGACGCGGATTCGACACAACAGAGAATGCGCAGAGAGGACGCCACACAGAGGGTCAAGGTTCACCAAAGGCAGCCTTGGCCGGCCAGTTCCCATTCATTCAAACAACCTGTCTGCACAAAAGCCTTCTGACATTTAAAGAAATGAATAAAAACAACAGAGAGAGGGAACGAAAGAAGAAGAAAAAAAATCAATTATTCCAGATTTTCCCCCCCTCCACAAACTGACCTTTTCTCTCTAGCATCCTCTGCCAGTTGTTTGTTGGACAGACTTCAAAACTGCCATAGTGTTTAACTCATTGCCGGCCCTATCAAGGGCTCTCATGTTCGAAAACGGGATGGAAGGAAGGAGGAAAAGTCGATAACCTTTTGGTGGATCCGTTTTTGTGAAATTGTTTGTCAGCACAAACACGAGGTGCATGACTAGCAGCGGGTCAGGGGGATTTCGGTGGCGGGGGCCGGTCTTGGGCCCCCCTCTTCTGGTTAAAGCCAGCTTTACTCATTCATCTGTTCTCCCTCGAACGGCCGATGCCACCCTCTCCTCCCTCCACTAATCCGGTTACCACATTCACAGGCAGTACCCTCTCCCTTTTCATTACAGCAGATCAGAGATTGAAAAGCCATTCCTCAATCTGTCTGAGGATGAGATCCAAATTGGATCGGGCTAAAGTGAATGTGGCAGAGAGGGGAAAATGGGAAGGGAAGATGATGCGACTCATTTTTACCCTTTAGATCAGAAAAAGCAATATTCATAGTGTGCATGTACAGGTAGGTGGCCTGTTTGTGGGTAAATGCCACACGCCGTGATTGACAAGAGGACAACGGCTCACTTCTGGGGTCTGAGGTCACTTCCTTAGAGTGCTGCGATTGTTTCCTCTTAAAACATCAATGTACTCCAAAGGTGTAGATCAGCTATACACAAGAAAGAAAGAAAGAAAGAAAGAAAACACTTCTGTTATTTATTTTAATGTTTTTGAAAAATGTCTCATCAAGGCTGCATTAATTTGCTCAAAAATATAGAAAAACAGTAATTGCAATAGTATTGTGAAGTACTATTACAAGTTGAAGCACGTGTTTTCTTCAGTGTCATATGATCCTTCAGAAATCATGTTAATATGCTGATTTGGTGCTCAAACATTTTTTTATTATCAGTGTTGAAAACAGCTGCGTAATATTTTTGTGATACATTTTTTTCAGGATACTTTGATGAATATAAAGTAAAAAAAAAAACAGATGTAGAAATATATTTTTTTATAATAAGGTAAAAGTCACTTTTGATCAATTTAATGCATCCTTGCTGAATACAAATATTAATAAAAAAAAAAACTAATTAAAATATTCCTAAAAACCTTAGGCCTTCAAACTTTTAAACACAAACGTGACCCTGGAGCACAAAAGCAGTCTTAAGTCGCTGGGGTATATTTGTAGAAATAGCCAAAAATACATTGTATGGGTCAAAATTATTGATTTTTCTTTTATGCCAAAAATCATTAGGATATTAAGTAAAGATCATGTTCCATGAAGATATTTTGTAAATTTCCTACTGTAAATATATTAAAACTTAATGTTTGATTAGTAATATGCATTGCTAAGATCTTCATTTGGACAACTTTAAAGGCGATTTTCTCAATATTTAGATTTTTTTGCACCCTCAGATTCCAGATTTTCAAATAGTTGTATCTCGGCCAAATATTGTCCTATTCTAACAAACCATACATCAAAATTGACCCTTATGACTGGTTTTGTGGTCCAGGGTCACAAATGACTAACCAAAATAATCAAACTGAGATACATCTTGCACACAACAGCACACAATCATCGTTAAAAGCCATGTTTAAGCTCTTGAAGTGAATGTTAAACCAAAACTGTCCAATGAAAGTCAGGTTCTGAACTTCACTGACTTGCACTGCGTGGACAAAAACAGCACTTTTTTCTGCACAAAACATAAATAGCCTAAAAGCGCTAAATAAGAAAAATAGGAAAATAAGACTGGCCAGGAAATCTGGTCTGCACAATATGTTCCCTTTACTTCCGAAATGATGGTTATGCACCTTAATTAAGTACACTGAGAGCTTCACATTTACAAAACCAACAACACTCACTTTTAAATGTGTCTCTGACCTCCGTAGGTCTTCTCAAAGTTGACTTGTTCAAGCATAAGGGGCTCTGTACTTCTGCCGGCCTTTGGTTTACAGGAACATATTCATCTCAGTGCAAAACCATTTCCTATTCTCTAGCTCCAGGTCTCGTGTGCTGAAGATAGCCCTCTTTATCTGTTCCTCACAAAACACCACTAAAATTACACCCTCTCCTGGGACTGTGGGGAAATGTGCTCCGCTCTAAGTGCAGAGCGTTTATTTCATCACCGCGCTTCACAGATCAACTTGAACTGTGTCTGGTCGACAGCCAAATGCGTCCCAGCATCCCCTCCTTGGCTTCAAAACTGTTCCGGTTCAAAATATTCTGACAAAGTGCAAAGAACCGAAAAGTAATTACTTTGGGTTTAGTGACAATAATACAATGGCTGTACTCAGCCCAAAATGCTCCAAGCTGTGTTAGTTCTGGTCGGAAATGTGATCCGTGTTGAGAAACATTTTGGCAAATGAGATGATCATACTGCATTTGCTGGGAATACATAGACAGGCCAGAAAATAATAATGTTGTGCATGACAGCTTTTCATGAAAAGGCTGAAATTTATTAAAAGCAATTTTTTAAATTAATTTAGTTAGTATCATATTTAATTAAATTATCTATTATTTGCATTCCATACATACTGTCAAAAATTGACAGTATTAAATCTGTTTTACACTTTGCTGCCATCTACTGGCATACAAAACTTTATAATGCATGCACTCTGAAGGAAATAATACAAACATATTTTTAAAAAAATCTTAATTCAGCAGATGATAAGGTTATGTTTTATAGCATTTTCCAATTCTATAAAAAAAATTGCAATGTGAATATGAATTACGTTTATCGAACCAGGATCCAGAGTAACAGCAGCAATGAGCATCTGTGCTAACGGCAGCAATGATGCATACAGTACAGTGTGCTTGCTTTATGTTTCAGTAGCTGTGGAGGATCTTCAGTATGTCCTGACTGAGTGCAGCTGAAGAGTGCTGCTGGACTCCAGGAGCTCCGATGCTGGTCTCCCAGCAGTCAAAGCCACAGGCCTTCAGCTCCTCAACGGTTCTCTGAATCACTGAAGTATCTGTTTCTGTAAACAGAAAGGACAAAAACGTCCCCATCAACACCAAGGACTGGAAAAATTACACTCAATGAAACAGGTGCTCCATGGAGTTAAAGCTAAATTGTGTAAATGTGTCATTTCTGCATCTACAAAACATAATATAATCAAAAAGGGCTGGTAAATTGTTTAAGAAATTAATACTTTTATTCAGCAAGGACATATTAAATTGACCCAAGGAGACCGTAAAAGCATTTATAAGTGTATCACGGTTTCTACGAAAATATTAAGCTGCACAACTGTTAACACTGATAGTAAGAACTGTTTCTTAAGCATCAAATCAGCATATTGGAATGTTTCTAAAGGATCATGTGACTGGTTGCTAAAAATTCAGCCTAAATTACATTTGAACATATACTGTATTAAAATAGAAATCAGTTTTGTAAAATTGTATTATTTCACAATATCACTGTTTTTACTGTATTTTTGATCAAATAAATGCAACCTTGGTGAGTATAAGAGACTTATTTTAAAAACATTATCAACCCCAAACTTCTAAAAGGTATTTATAATATATTATATTATACTGGATTGGATTTGCATTTGTGTCACTCGCATAAACAGCACAACTCATCGGCAGGAGCATGTGAAAAATTGTTCAGGAAACAGACTTGGTTCAGATGAAAATCTTATTTGTACGTCACATCTTAACATACTTTATACGCAACATTGTTCCAGCTGAAACACATTTGTTTGTGTCAGGAGCACTGACCATATTACGCAGGTGGTCTGAAAATCTGCCAAACCCTCAAACATGAAACCCAAGAATCAGTGTGTGTGTGTGTGTGTGTGTGTGTGTGTGTGTCACCAGGTGGCTGATACTGTTCCTCTGGAGTTTTAGAAGATGAAACTAGGTGCAATTTTACATGCAAAATACAAAAACAGACCACTTGCCGTGTCAAGTGAAGTAAGAATTCAATGTCTTTTTTGACAGGCAGGAATCCAATTTTCATTTTAAATAATGCTGAGGTACAAGAACGACAGGACACACTTGGAGTAAGAACAATTCTGTTTGCAAATTAAACGAGCAAGTGGACTTTACCTCAAAAATCTTAATTCAGCCTTAACAAGGTGTGCCTAGAAATGACAATGACACATACTCAAGTTGTTAGGCATCATAAACATCATAAACGTTGCCCGGCTTCTTCCAGCGTTGTGTCTGCTTTATTGGAGGCTGTTTTTGAGGGTTCTAAGATCCTGATTAAAATTCAATGCGTTAGTGGCTTCAGGCATAAACAAAGAGTGTGGCCCAGTCTGACAGCTGCTGTGTCAAGTTGTTAGCTTTGTCAGACAAAAGTGACAAGCGAGATTCACCTCACGAATCCCGCTAAACAGTCACGCAGTCTGCAGGGTGCCACCCTCATGGAGACTTTTCAAACAATTCACAGCAATCAGACTGATTAACCACAGGTAGCATATCCAAAATATACACTGTAGGGTTCCAGGAAGACATTTCATGCAAAAACAACAACGATTGGTACAATTTTAAAGGGGTCATATGATGCAATTTCATTTTTTCCTTTCTCTTTGGAGTGTTACAAGCTCTTGGTGCATAAAGAAGATCTGTAAATTTGCAAAGACTAAAGTCTCAAATCCAAAGAGATATTCTTTATAAAAGTTCAGAGTCAGCCACACCTACCTAAAACGGCTCGTTCTAACACGCCCCCACATGTCTACCTCACTATGTGGGAAGATTTGCATAACGCCGCCCAAATGTTCACGCAAAGAAAGAAGGCGTAACTTTTATTCTCGCTGTAGTATTGTTGCCGCTGCCGCCATGTCGTGAAGACGCTGTGTGCTTCGTTGTGAAAGCGAAACTACTTTGTTTGGTCTTCCAAAAGAGGACGATATCCGCTTCGTCATGCCTAGAGCTGATCCGTGCTGGTCACTGAGGGAATACATCAACTTAGTGCTGTGGATCACCGGATCGGCTTTCACCGT